TTTCCCTATATTGATTAGTCTGTAATCGAAGCTACCTAAAACTACACATTATGTAGGTGTATGCAAATTTCCAGAGGGCAGTGATTTATATGCTGTCGATGGCTTTGACATAACCAGGGATCCTGATTATGCTCTCATAAAAATAAAAAATTATCTGAGAAAACCCCCCAAATCCATGATTAAAATGAAAGCCCCTCCCCTGGCAGCTCCCCAGTCCTGCTGGTGCCCCTCACTCCCCACCACAACCCCCTAGCCCTGCTCCTCACTCCCCCCCACAACCCCCCAGCCCTGCTGGTGCCCCTTGCCCCCCATCCACAGTTCCTGCTTCCCCAGCCCTGTTGGAGGAGACTTCCAGCTGCCAGGGCTATGGGGCCAGGGACCTGGGGCTGCCTCTGGCAGGAGGCGGCGGCTGCTGCTGTGAAGCAGAGCCTGGCCTCCCGCACCCTACTGCCTGCCAGCTGTGGGCTTGGGTTGTGGGGCTGCACCCCTTTGTGGCTCATACTCCCAGGGAGGTAGGGGGACCCATGATCCCTGGACATAACCTACATACAACTATTTTCATCACTTCTTTGTAGGGTGTCTGAATTCTCATGTCATATTGCGGGATGCTGCCAGGTCTTTGATACTTTAGAGGGTTATGAACATCACTACAACACGCTACACAGGAATGTGTGCTCTTTCTGCAAACGTTCTTTTCCTTCAGGGCATCTGTTGGATATTCACATCCTGGAGTGGCATGACTCTCTCTTCCAGATAATGGCAGAAAAGCAAAGCATGGTGAGTCACAAGTAAAGCTATTCTTAAATATCCAGCGCCTGAGAACTTTCTAGTGTTAAAATTGTGGGTCTCAAACATTTTTCTTTCTTTGAATTTGCAGCTTGACCCCCTTTTCACTGATAGAAATTGCCATACCCTAGTCACTTCTCACTGACTACAAATAAGTTTTATGTCTGAACAAAGTACAAGACACAAGCTATTTCAGGTCAAAAAAGAAAGTGATATCCTTTGCAGCCTCGAATGACTTGTATCAAAGGATTTCTAAGTTCTTCATCAGCTTTAAGCCTCACAGTCATATTTTTCAGTAAGAAGGTGGTATGCCTGTCTAGCAGATGAGGAAACAGGTTTGGAGTAGGTAAGAAATTTGTCCAGGGAAAAGCAAGGCTAGATCTCTTGCCTAGAAGACAGACTATCCCTCCCCCTCTATTTGGGGGGGGGGGGGGGGGTGTAGATAGATAAATATAGAGGAGGGAAACATGTAGGACTTTGATTAACCTCTTCCAAGGATGCCAGAAATGGAGAAGGTAGAAAACTACAGGTAAATGGCTCTTGTCCCAAATGTGCTGATGGAGAATTGCCAACATGACTCTAGTTCACATATGAGCAATCAGAGACCATGTTCTGTCAACCCCTGATCTGATTACTCAAATACAAAATGAAAAAGACACTCATCTTACATTTGCATACAAGGAAACCTCATTAAATACATTGCCTAATTAAACTGCTGCCAAAAGCAGCATGTGCTCAGTAATGGAAACCAACTGTGAAGTTGATTAAATGCAGCCAACACTGACCATGATTATAAAACACATGGCCCATATTAGGTAAACATACTGATGGGAAACTTTTGTGGCCCTTAAAAAAAAACAAACAGGCAGTTGCTCCCCGAAGAGGGAGCTGGCACCAAGCCTGGAGGCCCAGAGCCACCCCTGCAATACCAGTCCGGCACTTTGAGGCCCAGAGCCAGCCCTGACACCCTCCCCATGGTGCTAAAAATGCTTGATCTTACCCAAAAGGCCAAGATGCTGGTGGGAACATGCCACAAGGATAGATTAGTTCAGCCATAATCTGTATAACATAAATGGTAGTGCCCACTGCATGCAGTCACCCTCAGCACTGACTTTTTCAGGTCATAGTGAGCCACTGCATTCATACATTTTGACTTTGTCTTCACTTAAACAGCTGAGCTGAGCCTTTCCTGTTTCCAATGATTTATTTTTCTTCACCAGCCTTAAAGGTCTGGTAAACGTCACCAAATGGGGCCCCAAACATTTCACTGAGAATCCCTCTGTCACCCCCCTCTGCCAGCCTTCATATATGATTAGTGCAGCTCTGCTCTTCATGAGGTGCAGTCAGACCAGGTTGCCCTGTGCCTCCTCTGCATATAATTTTTTTGAAAGATCCCAAGACTTGTGACAAAGGAAATTTGGTTGTAATCGTGAGTGGGTGTGTAATTAGCACGTGAATTGTTTGTGAGGGGTATCTGGAGTACACACATATACTGAATTGTGGGGTCACCGTAGCTTGAAAAAAATTAACTGTGCTGGGGTCCAGCTCAATGAACTATAAGGTAAATCAGGAGCCTTTTGGCTTTGGTTTTGCACGGGAGTATTTAAAGCCCAGGCTGAAGAGGCTGGGAAGTAAGATACTTGCTGGTGGTAGCACCACATAGATTTGAACGATGGGGATCTACACAGTTGATGGAATTTGGAATGGATTTGGCTAATTTGACTTGAGGCACGAAATTTAATTTAAAAAAGAAATGCATAGTTTGTACCTGCTGGTGGTAACACCATGTGGACCTGAATAACTGGGCTGTGCTCAGTGGGTGAAATTCAAAACTAATTTGACTGATTTGGCCTGAGATGCAAAATTAATAATTAAAAAATGCATAGTTTATACTATATATAAACAGGCATGTAGCTGTTGCAGTGTCTCAAAGCAGTTTAAGATGCCACAAGAGGCACACTGAGAACAAAAAAATGTTCACCACACAAAAAATATTTGCAGTGCGGACTCTAAAATTGATACCAGGAAATCCCAGTATCAACACCCCCCACCCCCCCAAAAAAAACAAAACAAAAAAACCCCAAACAAACCCATGCTGGAAAACCCGGAGCCGGTCCCCGCAACGGAGACACTCTGGCACCCTGCTAAAGCTTCTCTAGGGCTGCCCCTTCCTCTTGCTGCCCCAACATGCTGCCTCAGTGTGCTGGGGCAAATAGGAGCAGGGCAAGGCTGCAGCAGTAACCTGGACCCAGGTGCTGTCCCTGGTAAGTAGGGACATGGCGGGGAGGGGGACTGTTCAGGAAGGGTGGGTCCCCCACAGCAGCAGAAGCAGCAGTCAGGCACTCGGGGCCTGCTGCTAGCGGAGCCTGCCAGCGGCACAGCCCGGGCCACCTGAGACCCAGAACCACCTACCCAGGGTTGTGTGCCTTTGAGACTCTTGCTGTCACTCAGGGTCCTGGCACTGCACGCAGGGGCTGCACGTCTGGCCAGGCCAGATCCTGCCTCCATGGAGCCGACCCAGCCCAGCAGTGTGCAGGGCTCTTGGAGGAAGGGCCCAGCCCGGCCCAATGTGCGGCCCCTGTATGCAGTGCTGGGGCCCCGGGTGACAGGAAAAGCAGCCCAATCCTGCCTGAAGACTTACAGCCCCAGTCCAGGCTTGCAACATGTGGCACAGGTGGTGCTGGATCTCAGGAAGCTGGAGCTGTGCTGCACCGCAGGGGGGAGCTCTGCCAGCAGTGGGCCCCAAGCACCTGACGGCCGCTGCTACTCCTGTGGGGGGCCTGTATGCCATGCGGAAGGGGGATGGCAGGACCCATCCCTCCTGAGCAGTTACCACCCCCCCCGCCTACAATCCACCCACAAACCCCATACCATGTCTACAACCCGCCCCCACATACCCAGCCACAAGCCCCATACCTCCCACAAACCTCACCCCTGCAAACCCTACACCCACCCACAAACTCCACATCCCTGCCCCCACATATCCTCCCACAAATCTCACACCCTGTGTGGCCAGGCAGCCACAAGGGCTGGGTTACTACCTGCTGGTGGGAGCTGTGGCTGCAGGGGCAACTGCCACTGGAGCCCTGCTCCATGCCTACACCAGTGCTGGGACATGCATCCGCAGCCTGTAGGAACTCCTTGTCCCAGGAACCCATAGTGGGGTATGATGGACTGGTGAGAGGGGTGGAGATGGCAGCAGGGGTGTATGTGTGAGAAAGAGAGATGGGGGTTGGGGGTGGGGAAGCGCTCTGGGTAGGAGAGGTTGCCAGAACCAGGTTTAGAGCCCCCCCTGCCCTCCTAGAGCAGCCTTGCCCAGCCCAGTCCCTAAGCCACAATCAGGGGCTTCCCAGGAATGGCATGGGGATTGCTGGGGCCTGGGCACAGGTACAGGGAGCAGAACAGCAAGGACTGGCACTGCTCAGAACCACAAAGCAGCAGGTGAGACAGCTGCTGCTGAACTCATGTCCTGGTGCTGGGATGGAGTTGCTGCCGGGAGGAAGCTAGTGGGAGCAGGCAGGAGCTGTGGGTCAGGAGTGAGGGGCACTGGGGAGGACTGTGAATTGAGAGTGAGGGGCAAGGGCAGGGGCAGGTCACTGGCATATCAATGCTGCGCAATGCCCCACATCCTGGTGAGCGAAGGGGACAGGGACAGCTCTGGTTTTTCTATGATAAAAAAAACAAAAGCAAATGCCAAAGCCTATAAATATTTAGAATTTGTTTATTATGGTGATAGAGGCACTGGTAGACTTCCAGATTGTTTTTAAATTGTAAATATATCAGTGAAACACTGCCCAACTGATCTCTCTCTATATAGTGGTGTTTCATTTTAATCACAGAAGAACATGGATTTTGGGTATTTTAATGAGAAATTGGGGGATTTTATGGCAGAATTTGCAATTTTTAAACAGGAAACACCAGACTCTCTGCTGATGAGACAAGTGGTGAGACCCCGGGCAGAGGAACCTACCCAGGGTCAGCACCGGGAACCCAGTTGGAGGGCAGATGAGGTGGCTGACCTGGCCATTTAGGGCCAGGAGGGCATACTTTGACAATTCAAAGCAGGCTACCACAACAAGCACATTTTCTGGGCGATAGCTGCCCAGATAGCAGGGCGGCTGACACAGGGGGCTGGCATCCCCAGATACTAACTGGCTGGGCCTCAGAAGCTCCTGAGGGCAAGTATACTCCCCCTGGCTGAAGATTCTGGAGGAGCTGGGCAGGGTCAGTTTGCCCCAAGTGGCACTATTTGCCCCACACCAAAGTGTATGTTCAGCATGTGTGCTAAGGCACAAATCTCCAGCACAAATTTGTGCTGCTGCTATTTGAGCTGCTGCAAGTGCACATGCCTGGATGTGTGGGACAGCAGGGCCTGACAATAAGCATAGGTGAGGAAGGGGCTGCAGGGCAAAGAAGTGGGGGGAAGGGGCAGAGGGGCTACCTGCCCCCCTTCCCCCCCCCCCCAAAAAATTATTTTCCCTGCTAAGTAGTGAGAGGTGGATAAAATCAAGAAAGCCTCCAATAATTTGATTCTATACCTGGAAAATTGTAACAAATTTATACATTTTTTTGTATATAGAATATAATTGTGGGGGGGTCATATTATATCCAGGATTCTTATATTAGAGTATATATGGTAATACTCGTCTAATTCCAAAGATGGAAATGGCTTCAGAAAACATTAATTGGTTCTAAATTTTGTGCAACAATCTGTAAGTACCTATGTAACTTTGAGATGGGAGTGAGTGGAAGCTAGCTTTCATAGATCTTTTTGGTAAGGTTAAAAGTTTTATCATATGAGCTGTTTTACAACACAGGCCATATAACTACTCCCCCAGTATTTTTTGGAGTGGAGAGAATGATTTTATTTCTCTGTCTGGAAATATATACTGCAGAGCTCAATATCTCAGTGCTAGAGATGAGAACCATCCCACAGATGTGTAATATATAATTATGATGTTATTTCTTTAGAACCACCTATAAATGTAGGGCATGTCAGGTGGATGACTTCAGTGCCATGGATGACTTCAGTACATAAACAGACGTCTCTCTTGTGGTACTGTATGGGTTTTAGAATAAACTGTCCCTTCTTGATTTTTTTTTTAGTATCAGTGTTTGGTACAAGGCTGTGTGGAGAAGTTCAAGAGCAGCAAAGACAGAAAAGATCACTTGGTCACAGTTCATCTTTATCCTTCTGATTTTCGATTTGATAGACCAAAGAAAGCTAAAAGGTAATTGCCAAATGCCAGACAACATAAACTTTTATCTCTCTGCTGCATAATAGGTGGGGTCTCAAATGAACCACTGGGAAATCCAGCAAATTGTGTGCTTCCCTTGAGTACCATATATCAATTATGCAAACCAGTATCTAGGATTCCAGAACTCCTGTATTCCCTTCCTAGCATTGCACAAGCATTTGCCCCCAGAGGAATAGCAGCTAGAAAGCACTTTCACAGTCAGTAAATGATCTTATAAGACTGTGTAAAGGTACAAGACAAAAACTTCTGGCTTTCAGGTCCTCTCAACAGCTACAGCTTGCCCTGTTGCACAACTAAAGAGTGATACTGAAAGCTCACATTCATTTGTGATCTTGGGGCAACCCTCTTTGGTACAGAAGATGCTTTTTAAAACTTATTTTCATATTTTAAATGCATTTAAAATGCACCTGTGACATTGGGGCATTTAAAGGGCTTTGGATTCTTTCCTTGGTTATTTGATTCTCCTGTGGATTTTTTTGTAAGGGATATAACATTTCAAGAATTGTGCCTGTAGTTATTAACTCATTTGTGGGCGATGGGTCCTAAAACTGGACTTGAAAAATTGAGGTTGATCTTTATAATCAAAATAAGGTAATGATTTACTTCTGCAGCAGCACCAAGCACAGCAAGTCTCCCTTGCTACAGAATGCAAGCATGCCAGTAGATATTAAAACTTTTGAGCAACCTCAAGTGGATTCCATGGAAATATCTCCCGTTGAGAATATGGAGAATGCCTCTCAGCCTCTGAGCAGCCTGATCTCACTGCCACCAGAGAAACATCTCAACAGATCCAGGTCTGTTTCCTTTTACCTATGACTCCAAATTATGAGCTGCTGCTCTGTGGATTAAAGTTACCACCAGTAAAATTTAGAACAGTGCTTGGTCTAATTGGGACTTGCAGAGGGTAGTCTGTAGAGGCAGTTGTGGTTCCTGTGCAGCTTCAGGACCACTGCAAAGTGCTGCAATGGGAGTTAAGATATTGCCAGGCCTCACAGGACCTGTTCGTGTGCTAGCAGGAGAAATTTGTGGGCAGCATTCTGCAAGGGAAAAGAAGTGGCCTGCAAGCCAGACTTTACATATTTAAAAAGTCTGACCTAGTTCAGTACGAAGCTAGGTTTTAAGTTAAGTAAGATAAAACATATGAAGGGTCAGAGTAAGATAAAACAAAAAAAACATGGGAGGAGTTAGTTTGGTAGCTTAATTTATTATATTGTCATTAAGTGACTGCACAATGCGTGAAACATTATAGCACTGCCCATGAGTTTGGATGGTAGTATCCCAATTTACAGACTGGGAAACACAAGCAGAGAGGCAGTGTTTTTCCAGGTTCACACAAGAAGTTTATGTTGTGGCAGGACTAGAATTTGAGTTTCTTGCCTGAATATAAGGTTGCATTTACTGTGGCAAAACTTAACAAATATCTCCCACCAGTTCTGCTGGTATGATTACTCATGAGGCTCTAAGATAGTCAAGACTGCATCTGTCAAATGTGCTGAAAGCATGTCCGAATAAAACTGAAGAAAATTGACTCAGTTTTAGGGAACCTCTGTATGTGAGAGCACCCTGATGGTGGCCCATGTGAAACAAAATTAATGTTCCTTGAAAAACTCCCTAATATTGCCTAGGCCTCAGCCCTGTGCTTTTGTTTCTACCTGTAACAGTTGTATCATCTTTTTAAAGCATACAGAAAGGGACACAGTCTATTCAAGTACATCAGTGTGTGAATCAACTTAGCTAAATCATAGCAAACTTTCTGTATGGTTTATACCAAATCACAGATGTATCCATTTCCTCTAACACCCAGCTATATAGCCTCAAGCCCCTAATTGATCCTTTCTGCCTGCAACGTCCTCTCTCTATTTCAGATGCCAAAACAAAACTTTGTTCATGATATACTGCAGATGTTCAAGAAAACTATCATGCCTGTCCTGCTGGGCTTCTGAGCTTGAATCCCATTGGTTTTAGTTTCTTTGTCATTTGGGGTGAGAAAGGAGTATAAGAGATTAATCTTCATAGGGTCACCAATTTGTAGTGCCAAGAAGAGCTGTCAATTGCAGTACTCAGTGCATATCTTCATAGCATGGTGCTTCCTTTCCTAGTGCAATCAATTTGTCGATAGTGTTGGCATTTAAATTAACTAGGTTTGCATGTTAACAGATTGAAAAATACAGGACACTCTTTCCTTCCCACGCCCCCCCATCGTGCGCCTCCCTAGGAGTTCACAATTTAGTTTATTTTCAGATTTAGGCAGATCCCACTGCATTTATGACATGTGTTCCCACTTGAAGGTTTTTTTTGTCATTTACAAAAACTTCTAATGAGAATTTAAGTTCTAGAGAATTAAATGGAAACTGAGGTCCTTGTGCAGTACTCTATACACGTCAGGTTCTGCCTTTACATTGCTTAATGCATCTCTATTAAGCAGAACTTCTGCTAATGCTTCCCATTAAACAGCAACCATTTACCATTCAGTTTTGGGTTTTATCAGCCTCGCGTTGGGCATGTCATGGTATTCCAGTTAAGGGTATTCTGACCAATTAGCATGTACAGAAATGCAAAAAAATATGCTATTTCAATACAAAGTGCTTTGTCAATGCAAAATGTTTTCTTTCCAGAATCCCATCTACCATTTGCTTTGGGCAGGGTGCCGCTCGAGGCTTTAAAAGCATGAGGAAGAAAATCTGAAAATCACTGCACCAGATTTGAGGAATGACCGAAGTACTGAAGATCCAAAAAAAGCTTGGTCCACTGACATTAATAAAAGTTACAGCTAAGCACGGATAGGTTTGTTTGATCCCCTGCTTGAGCGCAGTAGTGGATGTATCAAGTCTGTTGTACACCAGTGGCATGAAAGACTTGGGACAGTCCAGATGGATCATCCCTGATCATGTAAAAACACTCGTTCCATAAAGGGGTAGTAGATAGAAGGGAGGGAGAAGGGGATGTTCTAGCTCTAGAAAGTCTGAATTCCATAAACTTATTGTGGGGAAGGGAGGCACAACCCAATAACTGTGTTTTGCAGGTAGACATTACAGGAATATCAGGGCAGTATCCTGCTTGGTTGCAAGGAATACATCAGGATTTGCCATTATAGGAAGTTATCAAGTCACCCTGACAGGATCCCAGTGTCATGCTGGGATACATCATATTTGCATTTGTTCTTTGCCTGGCCCAACAGTATGTGTGTCCTTTTCTCTGACACACCCCCCCCCCCCCCCAAAAAAAAAAAAAACCCAAAAAACAAAAAACCAACAAACCTACACATGCCTCCAAAGAAGAAGAGAGATGTGGAGGTATTTGTGTCTCACCAGCTTTTGTTGTGCTCTTTGCATGTAGCAGGGGCAGCTCCTCCATCATTCACACCATTTGTCTCTCCCAATTTCAGACACAGAAGGAGGGGCAACATTGTTCTTAGGGGGACAGGATAAGATTTGTGAATAAGGGCTTTGAAGACCCTTACATGACTTCAGAGTCTGAGGCAAGGATGCTGCTCTGAGGGTTGAGAATTACTGCAGTGCCTAAAATGCATTGATTTGAGGGTAATTCAAAGGGTTCAGGAAAAAAATTAAATAGAGTATTTGTATAGAGAAGCAAGACTGACAATGACAGAAGTTCTTAATATAAAAACTAATTGCATCTGAAGCAGTCTACTTCTATTAGCAAGCTTTCAAAGAGGACAGTAAGGCCAGAATGCTGTTTCCACATCGTTGTTTTTTATATAAGTCTTCACAGAATGGCTCTGGAGCCATAGAAAATCACATGGAAAGGGAGTTGAGACTTCTAAAGATGCCCTTGCTTGCAGAATCATATCCATTCTAATCATATGCAGAGACTAAACCTTGCAATGTTGTGATGCATTGGCTCAGCTATTGTGCTCTTAAGAAAAGAGTCCATTTTTTAACAATTTATTTGGAAGATTAAAAGTTCAGATCCACTCTATAAATGCCAGACTGGAAGTTATCTTGCCTTTGTTTTACTTCCTTATAGATACCATCAGTGCTTCACTCGTGTGTACAGATGAAGTAATGGAGCATTCAGATATAAAGTTATGTACAAAACAGGTTTAGAACATAAACTGGGACTAAATTGTTTTCCAACCTTTTTCATTCTGATATGCTCTGAAATTTTAGAGTGGGAGGCCTTTCCAGAAAAGTTATTTGCATAGTGTGCTGCAACAGAAGACTGCATTTAAATAAATACATTTTTTAGGCCTCCTCTGAACTAACTTCTTAAGGCTTGCATGCCACCCTTGACAAGTAGGGCCAGTAGGGTTTCATATTTTACCCTATGTAATACTTTTTAAATTATTCTATGAGTTTGCTGTGGAGACAGGAAGATGGAATGTTTTTTTGAATACCCACAGCCCCCCACATCCCTACAAAAAGGGGCTACATTTGTGGATGTTGAGGGAGGGGTGAAAAGACTCCCTTTGGTGAGAGAGAGGAGGAGGAGGGAAGGAATGGAAATGGCCATAACTTCTCGCTTAGAGAGGGAGGCCCTGGCCTTGAGGGAGAGTGGTGGGAGGGGGTGGTTAACTTATCTCAGCTTGTGTCTCTGCCTGATGAGTCAGACACAAGTCATCCTCCCCAACCATGGTCAGGCCATCTTCCCGCAACAACTCACTCCCTTAGAGAATCTGTGGATTAACATGGTGTGTCAGCCCCAGGGGGCCTGATAGTATCTACCATGTTGGAAGAAGACACCGAGTTCAGGAAGGGAACCAGTGGGTCAGGAACTGCCCACTGGAGTTGTGCTGGGCAAAAGGAGATACAGTGGGCAGGGGAGAAAACACAATCAGAGGCACAGAGAAAGGCACCTGGTGCCTGTTCCCCAGTCTTTCTCCTCCTCTGTCTCAACTGGGATCACGGCTATTGGGAACCCTCATATTGTGCTGCTGCTGGTATTTGCAAAGTTGCTGGCTAATAAAATGGCAGTCTCTTCAACCTCATTCAGGATGCAGCTGCTGATCTTGCATGCATCACAGACCTGGCTGGACAAGGCTTCTGAGCTGGTGCTTGCCCTGATGGTTCTAGGTGGATACTCAGTGCAGCATAAGGCTTGGTGGGGGGGGCACAGCAGAGTGCCAATAGTCTTCAAGGAAAATCTGGCGCACAGGTGGTATCCATTACCGATTTTGTCCAGCATGGAGTGTGTTTGCCTTGCACTCGAGGCTGAGTATTGATTGAGAATTCTGCTGGTGTACTAGCTACACTGCTGTACAGCTGATTACCTGACCTGAACTAGCCAAGCGGGTCTCAGAAGTGGTGTTGAAGATGCCCAGACTTACTTTCTTGGGGGACTTCAGCATCCATGCTCTCTGGGGCTAGAAAATGACTTCATCGTTTCCAGGTCAACCATAGGGATATCTGAGAGAGTAACTGGTCCAACTTATGGAGTGGGGCACATGCTGGACCTAATGTTTTGGACCTGCCTAGATACAAGGGCTCCAATGATTAGGAGTGTTGTTTTGAAACGAAGACCAGCATTAATAATTATTAGCTAACTTAGTGTAACTGATAGCCTGTTAACTCAAGTGAAAATAGCATAAGAATTCTTGAACTAGGATGGATATAGTCTAACTCCAGCGGAGTTAGGGCATGTGCATACTTCTTTAAAGGCAGTTTGTCTTGTAATTTCATTCAGGGCTCAGCCCTGGTGGTGAAAATGTAACTTTTAATTTTCTCAGGGAAACACCTTTGCATGAGCTTCCCATTGAGTTGAAAAGCTATCTTGTACTGGTTTGGATTGTGTGCGTTTGGGAAGGAGGCTCTCAACTTCCAAAATGCTCTCGTCTGTTGAAAATAAACATACTCAGCTATGAGTGAATGCCTCGTGTCTGATTTCCATATGCCTGTTTGTGCACACTGTTGTACAATACAATGTTTCTTTGTGGGTGTGGGGTGAGCTTTTGCTTGGGAACACCTTGCAAATACTATGGGAGTCCTGCAGTGTGGTTGTTGTAAGGGCTGATTCTGGCTTGGGGTACGCAGACCAACCTGAAGTTTGCCATGTACCAGTTACGGTGTTGCCCTGCTTTTGAAATGATGCCTCATGCTTGATTGGCAAAGTCACAATTAACTTGGTGACCTAAAAGTAGGATTCCTGCCTGTGATACCAAGGGTTCTTTGCCCATGGCCAAGGAAAGCCCTGCTAAAATAATGTCAAACTTGAATTTTTTTCTCCACTAAAAACCTTTGAAAGCCAAATGAAACAATTGGGGGGGGGGGGTTATGAGTCTTGCATTGCTCTTGCTGGAGAGAAGAAGCTATGAGTTGGTTCAGGTACTTGAATGGGCTCCAGAAAAAATAGGGTTCTGCCCCCTTGCACTGCCATCAATATGTTTGATTTCAGACACGTTCTTTAGAGAAGATTTTAGAGGTGGATACTAGTTACGTGTTACTTGCTTTCCGGCTATGAAAGGGCAGCCCCTTCGTTCAGCCACTGTGGTTGGCTAGGAAACTGGCAGGAATTCTCTCTCCTTTCTGCTCTCTTCTTATTGGAGAATAGAAGTTTTATTTGAGAAGGGCCTGGAGAGGCTGCCAACTAGGGTGTATGCTGCTGCTGTTTCAGCAAACTAAGGCTGTTTTATTCTTGAATGAGAGACTCCATACAAGTATTTAACCCTTACACCAGCACTCTCCAACTGCCAGCTTATGGATTGCAGGCAGCCTGCGAGGGGCCAGCATGCAACTTGTGGGTTGCATGGGGCCTACTGGCCCCTGCAGCCACCTCTTCCACTGTTGCATGGTAGGGAAGATCCCCAAGGGGCAGGAAGGCTGCCCCTTGCCATTGGCATCCATGAACAGCCCTGATGTAGATGAATGCAATTGTTTCATTTGTTTACATTTGTTGTACCTTTCAGCTTAACACAACAATTAGTGCAGGGGCAGGCAATTATTTTGGTCAGAGGGCCGCTTACTGAATTTTGGCAAGCCATCGAGGGCCACATGACAGGCAGCCCAGGGCAGATTAATATTAATTTTCTAAATTTTTTAGGGGCCCTGCGGGCCGGATAGAATGGCCTGGTGGGCCGCATCCGGCTCCTAGGCCACATTTTGCCCACCCCTGAATTAGTGACTGGGTTGGGATCCTAGTCTAGGTGAAAGTGAAACCTTGCAATACTAGGAATGAGTACCCCACTCATTTAGGGGACAAGAGAGAGGATTAAAAACTATTTAGGTGTTTGGGAAAAAGTCCCTCTGTGAGAGTTCATCAGATAAGTGGTGAGCCTGCAATGGGAATTTGCATCAGGGAAAATGCTGTTTTTACTTAGCTAAACTGCATTGAAACTGAAGCTAAACTGCATTACCTGTTCCGTAGCCTACTTGTTCCTGTTAAGCCCCTGGACAAAACACTTGCTGACAATATGAAGATTCTATCAAATCCCCTGTTCTTACAGCCACTGAGGACTGGAAAGCATTTCTGTTTTATAAACAGTTAAAATGATAAGGAAATGACCTCTGAATATGTGACTGAATGAAAGAAATGTAATGTTTCTGTGTTGGAGAGAGTTTCAATGATATACAGGAAACCCTTGCCGTTTGCGGATTCATGATTCGCAGTTTTGAATATTCGCAGTGCAAATATTCGAACCCACGCACTCCCCCTGCATGCTCTCACCATGCTCCCCCTCCGCTGTTCATGAATGTATTTGCAGATTTCCCCATTCGTGGGGATCCCTAAAACATATCCCCCGTGAATAGCTAGGGTTTCCTGTACCATGTAACTGGTTAGTAATGTTGGTTTCCTTCATCTTAAATACCACAGTTATTGGCCGAAACTGGCTTGACCCTAAAATGGGCGCTAAAAGTTGCTGTTTCAGTGGAGACTTTCTCCTATTTAGGACAGTTAACCCTAAAAGAAGACAGCGCAGCAGAAGACATTAAAATAAAAAAGTACCAAAACTTTCAGGTTTGGATTACTTTAACTTTCCTTTTATGAATGCTTAATAGAAGATATTTTAAAGGAGGTGTTTATACTGGGGGCAAGGGCCAGCATTAACTTTGCCTGGAGCTCAGAAATCCCTGTTTAAAGCCGTCATTGTAAATGAGGATTTTCAAACAATGTAGCTGTGCTGACTCCTAAGTCTTTGCCCTCAGTTCTGCAGCAGACTGATACCCTTTTTAGGAGGGAGAAGAAGGGTACTCACTGTACCTGTGAGTTAGAACAAATACTTGCTAGAGCTCTATAGACCTTGTGTTCTGTTTCTTGCTGAGAGAGGTGGGATATTAAGTCTTGTGGTTAGAGCAGGGTTCTGCAAGTTAGGGAGCTCAAGTAAGTCTTTGTTGTTTACTTGGCTTTTCATTCATATACCCATTCATGGGTCTCAGAGCTCTTTATATAGAGGGCTGTGCAGGAATAGGTCTGTTATAATGATAATGAACATAATTTGTTAGTGTATGATCACCCCTTTGTGTTAACTAAAATACAGTCATATAAAAGGATTTACAACAGGGGCAGGCAATGATTTTGGGTGGAGGGCAGCTCACTGAGTTTTGGCAAGCCAACAAGGGCCACATGACAGGCAACCAGGGGCAGATAAATATTAATTTTCTAAATTTTTTAGGGGCCACATCTGGCTCCCGGGCAGCATTTTGCCCACCCTGATTTACAAGATGCTACTTTTCCTGTGGCAAGACTGAATGGAGGCCACCCTAGCCAAGCTCTGAGATTTGCCACACTGCTTTCTCAAAGCAGTACTGGTAAGGGACTCCGACTTGGATCTCTCATTTCAGAGTGACTGTTGATAACCCCATGTTTCCTCACAAACTCCCAGGTACCTCTTCTCTAAAGTGCTTTCTTCATGATAAGGACATGTGAGGCCCTGCTCAATAATGATAAAGATGGTTCCTGACTAAAGCTCCCAGGTCCCTCCTTACCTACCACTCTTCCTTTTTCCCAGGAAGCTGGCATGCTCCTGCCTTCACCACCTGCCTCAAGCTGTAAATGTGCATTTGGAAAAAAGGGAGAAGGCTCAGTGGGGCACAAAAGCATATCCAATGCTGTGGAAATGTGCAAGCAGTAAATGAAAGCTCTTTCCCAAGTTTTCTGGATCTACAAATAGAAGTTTCACAACTCACAAGTCTAAACTTGTAAATCCAAGTGTAGGAAGTTGAAGCTATTCTCACCGGGAAGGTGAAGAGCATCTCTTTCAGCTGACCACTTCCCTTGATCAGTTTTAAATCTTTACCAACCTTCCAATTTTCAGCCTTCCTTCCCCTCCTTCAGCCCCTCTGGGAGCCTGTTGAAAACACTGCAGGAATTTTTAAACAAACTTTTGGTAAAACTACTTATGTTTCATAGATCTGGATCTCAAAACCCTTCTTTCTAAAGATGTTCAGTCCAATATGGACACCCAGTGTGGACTGGAATGAAGGTGTGGAAGCTGAGTGGCGGGTGGGGATCAGCATGCAAAGCAGTACCTCGGCTGCCTACAACATGCTTTGAAGGGGAAGTTATCCAAAGAAATGGTCTCGATTTACTCCAAAGGCAGGGAGAGCTGTAGCTGTTCTAGAATGGGAGCGTCTGCCTGGTACTCACCAGGCTCCGGCGTTGTTAAATTGCACCCTTGCCGTGCGTGTCGTTTCTTAGGTCCGCAACTGGCCGCAGGGAGTCGCGACGACAGCGGCCTGTGAGCTCTACGTCGGGGCGCCGCCGCTGGATGCAGCAGCAGCAGAGCACGGGCACGGGCTCCTTCAGAGCCAACCTCCCGCCCCGACAACGAGGCAAGCGCTGTGGCGCGGTGGGCCGCGGGGCCAGGAGAGCAGGCGGGTGGAAGAGGAGG